CAAGAATGAAATTACTGAAATATCAGAGGAAGATATATTGTTGAGAAGGGAGGGTTTCAGTGAGCTATGGGAAGCATGGAAAAGGAGAGAAATGGCATGGAAACAAAAGTCTAAAATTGATTGGATCCAGCAAGGAGATGCTAATTCCAAGTTATTCCACAGAATAGCTAATGGCAACAGGCTGAGAAAAATGATTCGAGGCATTCATAAGGATGGTTCTTGGGTGGAGGAACCCAACATTGTGAAACAAGAAGTGCGAGAATACTTTAGAAAAATTTTTCAAGATGAGCAGTGGGACATGCCAAAGCTAGATGGGTTACAATTTAAACAACTCACTGAGGAGAACAGAATTTGGTTGGAAAGGGCGGTCTCAGCAGAAGAGGTGAAACAAGCAGTGTAGGAATGCGGAGGCGATAAATCCCTTGGTCCTGACGGCTTCAGCTTTCATCTTATTAGAGCTTGTTGGACAGTGATTGAGAAAGATGTTGTTGAATTTGTGCAGGAGTTTTCCAGAAACAGCAAGCTGGTAAGGGGGCTAAACTCCTCATTCATAGTCCTTATTCCAAAAAAGTCAAATCCTGTAGATTTAAAAGACTATAGACCTATAAACTTGATTAATAGTCTCTATAAAATCATCTCCAAGGTCTTAGCAAACAAGATTAAAAAAGTACTACCCAAGGTGATAAGTGGGACCCAATCCACTTTTTTGGGAGGAAGACAGATCACTGATGGTGTTTTGATTTTAAATGAGTTGATAGAAGAGATAAAGAAAAAAAAAAAGTCAGTAGCTTCATTTTCAAAGCAGATTTTGAAAAGGCATACGACTGTGTAAATTGGGATTTCTTAGATGAAATGATGAGGAGACTCGGCTTTGGTGAAAAATGGAGAATGTGTATAAAGGAATGTCTACAAACCGCTTCAATTTCGATCCTCGTTAATGGAAGTCCAACTGAAGAGTTCAAAATGGAGAAGGGGATCAGACAAGGAGACCCAATTGCCCCGTTCCTCTTCCTAATTGTTGCTGAAGGTTTAAATGTGTTGATTGAATCAGCTGTTAGCAAGGAAGCTCTCAAAGGAATTGATGTAGGGCCCTTTGGTCTGAGCATTTCACACCTCCAGTTTGCTGACGATACTGTCATCATGGGGAAGGCAGACCCCGACAACATTAAAGCAGTAAAAGGGATATTGAGATGGTTTGAGCTGCTGTCAGGTCTGAAAATTAATTTCAATAAGAGTGTGCTTTACTCATTTAATGCTTCTGATGAGTGGGGAAGAATGGTTGTCGCTGCCCTCAATTGCAAATCAGGTTCTCTCCCCTTTACGTACCTCAGGATGCCAGTTGGGGATATTATGTGTAGAAGGAAAGCATGGAAACCAGTCATTGATAATTTTTCCAAAAAGCTGGCAGTCTAGAAAGCGAAAAGCCTATCGATCGGTGGCCGAGTTACGTTGCTAAGGTCGGTTCTCTCTGCCCTCCCTATTTACTTTATGTCTATTTTTAGAATTCCAAAAATTGTG